ACACCCCTATACATAACACGGGCTTACTGTCAGCCGTCACCTCCGTACTTCCTCCTGGTATCAAACACGAAAACAAATCAGACATATACACCCCTATACATAACACGGGCTTACTGTCAGCCGTGTCAGTCGTCACCTCCGTACTTCCTCCTGGTAACAAACACCACAACAAATCAGACAAGTACACCCCTATACATAACAGGTGTTTAATGCATCTTTATAAATATATCAGAAAACTTGAACTTGATAAAAAAGGTATATGCTAGATCATACAGTTTTTCCTACATCCTCATTGGTTGAACCATAACCACGTGATATCAGGTTAATATGTACTTTTAAATACCGTCACTTAACGTCACCATTTGTAAAATGCACTACTTTTCACTTGAATTTACTCTCGCTCATCTTGTTGACGTCAGTTACTTGGAGGTTTCAGTTTTCAACCAAACAGAGTGTAGACCCCATATTAACTATGTAAATTACATGGATATTTCAGTGTTCAACCAAACAGAGTGTAGACCCCATATTAACTACGTAACTTACATGGATATTTCAGTTTTCAATAAATGGAGTGAATACTTTATATTGATGACGTCACTTACTTTGATGCATGTGTTTTAGCAAAAGCGTTGTGGTTGTAGGCTGGACCCCAGTGAAGTGTAGAAGCAACATAGTTGACTCCCGAGTTTTGGCCTCCCAATATAGCCTTCGTATTACCTGTAAACAAACTTTGTTACATGTGGAAGCCAATATCCTGTATTTTCGAACCATGCTGATCGTTACTTCCTGTGTAGATGGGTGTTCCGGTTTCTCACATGAATTATACTAGTGAGGAAAGTTACAGTGTTCACATCATGTCAGTTAAGAAAATGATATGTAGACATGTTTCAGAAATAAAGTATGTGTTTCTCATGAACATTTTTGTAATAATCTCCAGTAATAAAAAAAAATGCTGTTTGTATTTGCTTGCGTCCTGTGCCGTCTGATGGACGGAGTCCTACGTCAGTCATGACACTACACGGATGAAAATGAAGAAGTGAAGCTGACTGTTCGGCGATTATATCTTAAATAGCTGGGTTAGGGTTAAGGTTGAATGCAGTATGGGTGTCATCTTTTAAGGCTTAGCCTCATTTGGATAGGGCGCCAACATCTTACCCGTCATGCATCAGTACTTTGACAGACCCTGTCACCAGTTCAAAAGTAGAAGCGATGGGCTATCAATTCTAAGATAGGATTTGTACAAAAGACACATATAAGACAAATGTTTGACATGCCTGGACTTCTGTACCGAGATACAGGTAAAGAGTTTCCCATATATATGAGAACAAGAGGCCCATGGGCCTTAATGGTCACCTGATAAATTTATACAGAGAGTTGATTTTGTTTTTAACATGAACAGAAATATTATTCAAAGTGACAAAAAACAATAAAACCACCTTATTCAATATCTAGCATACAGATTTCAGACTAAAAAGGATTTGAAACTAGCACCTCTGATTCTTAACAAGGAAAATGAAGAAATTTTAGCACACTGACTCCTTTGAGCCCCACCCTACAGCCCTTGGGGGTAGGGCTGGCTCAAAATTTTCAAAGTATCAAACTGTCAATTCAAGGTTATAATTCCAATCAAGTTATTAACATGTAATATTCAAAGTATCATTTGCCATTATAAACCATAATAAATTTTGCCCCCACCCCCTCCTTCCCCAGGGGGTAAACGTGAGACCCTAGGGTCATAAACCTTAAGACCCTTCCATCTATGAAGAGTATTTGATTCTACCATATCTGGGACTTGAAAAGAAGAATTTTGAAATTTCAGTAAATTCGACCCTTTTTGGCCCCACCCATCAGCCCCTGGGGGTCAGTCAGGGTTCATTTGTGGTTATTATCAAACTGCTATCTCATACTGATAGTGCTAACCCAAATTGAATTACTTCCAATGGAATAAAACAAATGTTGGTCCAAAATGTGATTTCCCTATATAAACTTCAGTAAAGTTTACCTCCTCCCCAGGGAGAAACATGTGACCCCAGGGTCAAGAAATTCACAATTTTGGTAAAGCACCTTAAGACCCTTCCATCTATGAAGAGTATTTGATTCTACCATATCTGGGTCTTGAGAAGAAGATTTTTGAAATTTCAGTCAATTTAACCCTTTTTGGCCCCACCCATCAGCCCCTGGGGGTCAGCCAGGGCTCATAGGTACATACTATCAAACTGCTACCTTATACTGATAATGCTAACCCGAATTGAATTACTTCCAAAGGAAATTAAACAAATATTGGTCCAAAATGTGATTTCCCTATATAAACTATATTAAAGTTTACCCCCTCCCCAGGGGGAAGCATGAAACCCCAGGGTCATGAAATTCCCAATTTCCGTAAAGCACCTTAAGACCCTTCCATCTATGAAGAGTATTTGATTCTACCATATCTGGGTATTGAGAAGAAGATTTTTGAAATTTTAGTCAATATGACCCTTTATGGCCCCGCCCCTCAGGCCCCTGGGGGCTTGGGACTAAACCGGCCACTCTTTTTGTTGACCTTTGTCCATGGAAGGTCCCTGCAAAATTTCATTGAAATTGGTTCAGGGGTTTTGGAGAAGAAGTCGAAAATGTAAATTGTTTACGGACGCACGACGGACGACGGACGACGACGGACAAAAGGCGATCGCAATAGGTCACTTGAGACTTTGTCTCAGGTGACCTAAAAAGCCTAATAGACTCCTAATCACCTGTGTTTTGTTCTGTTTTATTTGACACTAAATTAGCTCCTTAGAGCTTCTGTAATTGTAAGTTGTATTCGACCCTAAATACGCTCCTTGGAACTTATGTACTTGTCAACCGTATTCGACACTAAATAAGCGCCTTAGAGCTTATGTTCTTGTCAACTGTATTCGACACTGAATCAGCTCCTTAGAGCTTCTGTACTTGTTAACTGTATTCGACACTGAATGAGCTCCTTAGAGCTTCTGTACTTGTCAACCGTATTCGACACTAAATAAGCGCCTTAGAGCTTATGTTCTTGTCAACTGTATTCGATACTGAATCAGCTCCTTAGAGCTTCTGTACTTGTTAACTGTATTCGACACTGAATGAGCTCCTTAGAGCTTCTGTACTTGTCAAATGTATTCGACACTGAATGAGCTCCTTAGAGCTTCAGTACTTGTTAACTGTGTTCGACACTGAATGGGCTCCTTAGAGCTTCTGTACTTGTCAACTGTATTCGACACTGAATGAGCTCCTTAGAGCTTCTGTACTTGTTAACCGTATTTGACACTAAATAAAAATGTTGTATCTATTTTTATTACCTCTTGATTCCATGATATCAATCTCTCCCGATCGTGGCCAGCCACCATAACTCCAGTCGCGGGGCAACATCCATATGGCTACAAGACAAAAATAGCATTATTATTATGTTCTATAAGATTCATCAGTTATATCAAGGTTTTACTTTCCACACAACAATATACGTATTAAATCGCCACTCAACGATGACATCACAGAAAAGGAAGTCATATATGCAATAAAACAATAAATCACCAGGGGCGGACACTATTCCTGCGGAATCATTAAAACAAACCATCCATTTGGATATGGTTCAGGCACTTCAACAACTGTTCAATCTCATTTTACAAAGTGGGAAATTTCACAAAGACTGGCATACTGGTATCATAATCCCGACTTATCATAAAAAGGTGATTTTAACCATACCGCGAACTACAGAGGCATCATCTCGCTACACGCAGTAATGAGTAAAATATTTACCAAAATTCTGTGTGTCTGCTAAACTAAATTGGCAGACGCCAATGCAATACTACCTTGGGAACAAGGTGGCCTCCGCAGAGGACACTCTACAGTTGAGCAAATCCTTTGTCTCCGTGCAATAGTACAAAAGTATGTACCCAAGAAAGGAAATGTTTGCTACTGTACATTGATACACTTTGTCAAAGCATTCGACTACGTTGAGTATAATAAACTATTCTAGTTATGTGTCCGTATCGCCAGGTTAACGACTAACTCTGTAAATGGGATTCATATTGTTTCTTCATCATGGTAATTGAACTAAGAGAGAAGCAACCCTCGGGTCAAACAATCTAGAATTATCAACGCTCGGGTTGAAGTTTCTTTGTCTAACCATCGAGGTAGAGGAAGATTGTGTTAGTCTTACCAGGCCAAAGCCAGTCTCCCTTCGGAATCTTTGCGCGTACATTAACACGTCCGTATGTCATCGCAAAGTTGGTGGTAATCTTTCCGGACATGACAGGGGGCAGGATCTCACTGTCGCCGCCGTAAGATTGTTTGTGACAACCATTATTGTCATGCTGGGTGCACCTATGCCACAGGGCTGAAACGAAAGTGAACGTTATTAACTTCTCTTTGTTCTACATTACATAATAGACCAATATCATTGGTATATAGAGGATATCTAAGAATGTCTCAAGTAATAACAGATATATATTTCACGATTGCAGGCTTTTTTTCACTTGTAAAAATGTAATAAATATATATATAGTCACATCGCGTGCCATTTCATAAACCTAGATATGGTACAGATAGTGTTTACACGAAATCTTGTATCTCATTGTATTCCTCATTGTTGAACAGATATTTGAAAATTTACTCTTAACAAATTTTTGTATATCAATGAAAACACACTATTTGCCATATTGAGTTTTAGTTTCATACTAAGTAATTATAAAAGTTATCAATTCATTTGAATTATTTTTGTTTCAGATAGTTAAAATTACTCATATTTGACATATAAAAGTCTCAGTTTGAAACGACGTCACTTTTTGAAATGACGTCAAGGGTATCAATTAAGCGTTGACGTTGAATGTGCATTAATGAATCGTCAACCTTTAATCTTAGTCCAGCCGTCTTCTTATCGAAAGTTTGTTTTCGATCTGATAACGGGGATCAATCAAACAAATAAGTTATGCTTACAGTTAACGTCCATGGTCCCGTAATACAGGCTCCCGTCGTTAAAGTGGGCACTGTCCCTCGTGAACGTCTGATCATAAACAATTTGATATCATTTATACATAGAATATAACGTTAAGTGGTTAATTTAGATTCAATTCATGCTCTACAATTAAAGCCTCGGGACGAGGCAGTTACATAGACAAACTCCATGTATTACATTTTTGCCAGTGAAATATCGGATTCTATCAACTTGATATAATTTTTACATAGAATATAACGTTAACGTCGACGTACCCAAATTGAGCCACTTTTATAAAATTATTGATAAAATATAAAATATTCATTGACACAGTATTTCCATGGTTTGTTTTTAAAAACTAGAACACTTGATCGTTCTGTTAATTCGTTTTTTCCCACGCAACGGTCACGTGTTACTAAAAATAGACCCTCGTGAATTTGTCTCAAACTGCTTCCGGTATTAGTAGGTGCGCAACCCAAATTGAGCCACCAGGTGTTTTTACTCACGAAGTAACCCGATTGCAGCTGGTTTAATCTTGGTTTATATTGGATCTGTGATTCAAGTAAGTATTGTAAGTTAACTTCCTCTCGATAAATACTCATTTAGGCATGTTTATCTCGAGTTGGCGATTTAACTTGAAAACGGGGTGTTGGCCGCCATTACCACATGCGAAACGAAAATAGTGTGTTATTTTTCAAAATACAATACTATCAATTGTGATCAATCTGTTGACATAAACTTAGTTGTAAACTTATAGGACACAACACTAATATAACAGAATTTGACTAAAATATTATTAATCCAATTATGTGTGACAGATTGATGGAGCCCCTGCACCCTAAAGAAGGTTTGCACGCTGAGTCGAGGCAAGTACACATTCCTATAACGAGTCTCTGGTCATGTTTTATTGTTTATGGTTATTATATTAACTTGTTTCCTATGATTACATCTTACCTTGTTTTGTTCAGAATTTGTCCGTTCTGTGATAGATACTAACCACTTATCCAGCAAGTAAATATTTATGCAGTCGAACAACGATATATAAAGGACTTTATTTGCCAATGTAAAGTGAAAGTAGAACATAATTTGGTCGTGATATACCATTATAAATATTGTCTCGTCGTCAGAAAGCTACGTTATCGCAGCTAAACACATGATAGGTGGTTAATTTAGATACAATTCAAACCTTACAATTAAAGCCTCGGGACGAGGCAGTTACATAGATAAACTCTATTTATTACACTTTTCCCAGTGAAATATCGGATTCAATCAACTTGATAAAAGTGATAGCTTTCAATTGTGACAAATATTAACATTTTTGGTATTGACCAATCATAACGGTATCTTCTATTCGCTGCATTCAAAGCAGAAAACGTCGAATTGCGTTGAGTATCCCATTCAAAATGGCGCGCAGTCTTGTTGTCAAGCGTGACGTCATTAGAATATGGCGCTAATTATTACGCTTCTGATTCCAGCCCTTTATCAAAGCATTTCATGTTTTATGCTTTAGAATTGTAATAAATAGAAAATGTTATGGTGTCTAACAGCAGCGTAGGACATAGGTGGTCGCCTGGTCGCCAAAGGCGACCAAAACCTTGATTGGGCGACTAGAAATTGTCAAAAGATGGATAGTTACTGGCCCAAAAATAAATCATTGGGCGAGTACATTATTATTCTCAAAATCGTAATCTACTCCAATAAATTAACCACTTTAAATTCGGAACACCCATTTTCGGAAATCCTGTACTCTGGGTCACGCCGTTAAAACGTGCAAGTTCATCAGAATTGACACTGACAGTCAACATGGTGTATACAAACAAGGGCTGGGGATTTATAGTCGGCATATAAAGTGTCAAGGTGTCTTAGCAAAGAGAGTTGGCGGTCGGCATATAAATTTTCAAGGTGTCTAAGCAAAGAGACGGGGCGGCCGGCATATAAAGTGTCAAGATGTCTCAGCAAAGAGACGGGGCGGTCTGCATATAAAGTGTCAATGTGTCTTTGCAAAGAGACGGGTCGGTCGGCATATAAAGGGTCAAGGTGTCTTAGCAAAGCGACGGGGCGGTCGGCATATGCAGTGTCAAGATGTCTCAGCAAAAGGACGGGGCGGTCGGCATATGCAGTGTCAAGATGTCTCAGCAAAGAGACGGGGCGGGCGGCATATAAAGTGGCAAGGTGTCTTAGCAAAGAGAGGGGGTGGTCGGCATATAAAGTGTCATGGTGTCTTAGCAAAGAGACGCGGCGGTCGGAATATAAAGTGTCAAGGTGTCCTAGCAAAGAGACGGGGCGGGCGGCATATAAAGTGGCAAGGTGTCTTAGCAAAGAGAGGTGGCGGTCGGCATATAAAGTGGCAAGGTGTCTTAGCAAAGAGAGGTGGCGGTCGGCATATAAAGTGTTAAAACGTGCAAGGTCATCAGAATTGACACTGAAAGTCAACATGGTGTATACAAACAAGGGGTGGGGATTTATAGTCGGCATATAAAGTGTCATGGTGTCTTAGCAAAGAGACTGTGCGGTCGGCATATAAAGTGGCAAGGTGTCTTAGCAAAGAGAAGGTGCGGTCGGCATATAAAGTGGCAAGGTGTCTTAGCAAAGAGACTGGGCGGTCGGCATATAAAGGGTCAAGGTGTCTTAGCAAAGCGACGGGGCGGTCGGCATATTCAGTGTCAAGGTGTCTTAGCAAAGAGAGGTGGCGGTCGGCATATAAATTGTCAAGATGTCTTTGCAAAGAGCCGGGGCGGTCGGCATATAAAGTATACAAACAAGGGCTGGGGATTTATTGTCGGCATATAAAGTGTCAAGGAGTCTTTGCAAAGAGACGGGTCGGTCGGCATATACAGTGTCAAGATGTCTTTGCAAAGAGACGGGGCGGGCGGCATATAAAGTGGCAAGGTGTCTTAGCAAAGAGAGGGGGTGGTCGGCATATAAAGTGTCAGGGTGTCTTAGCAAAGAGGCGGGGCGGTCGGCATATAAAGTATCGAGGTGTCTTTGCAAAGAGACGGGTCGGTCGGCATATACAGTGTCAAGATGTCTTTGCAAAGAGACGGGGCGGGCGGCATATAAAGTGGCAAGGTGTCTTAGCAAAGAGACTGGGCGGTCGGCATATAAAGCGTCAAGGTGTCTTAGCAAAGCGACGGGGCGGTCGGCATATACAGTGTCAAGGTGTCTTAGCAAAGCGACGGGGCGGTCGGCATATAAATTGTTAAATTGAGCATATCGAGTTACAACAAGTAAGTATATTCTGTTAAACAAATCGTCAACACAATCAAGGTGTCTTAGCAAAGCGACGGGGCGGTCGGCATATGCAGTGTCAAGATGTCTCAGCAAAGAGACTGGGCGGTCGGCATATAAAGGGTCAAGGTGTCTTAGCAAAGCGACGGGGCGGTCGGCATATTCAGTGTCAAGGTGTCTTAGCAAAGAGACGGTACGGTCGGCATATAAAGTGTGAAGGTGTCTTAGCAAAGAGAAGGTGCGGTCGGCATATAAAGTGGCAAGGTGTCTTAGCAAAGAGAGGTGGCGGTCGGCATATAAATTGTCAAGATGTCTTTGCAAAGAGACGGGTCGGTCGGCATATAAAGGGTCAAGGTGTCTTAGCAAAGCGACGGGGCGGTCGGCATATGCAGTGTCAAGATGTCTCAGCAAAGAGACGTGGCGGTCGGCATATAAATTGTCAAGGTGTCTAAGCAAAGAGACGGGGCGGCCGGCATATAAAGTATCAAGATGTCTTTGCAAAGAGACGGGGCGGTCGGCATATACAGTGTCAAGATGTCTCAGCAAAGAGACGGGGCGGTCGGCATATAAATTGTTAAATTGAGCATATCGAGTTACAACAAGTAAGTATATTCTGTTAAACAAATCGTCAACACAACTGTTAGATGTGTGATATAACCTATACACTATTACTCTTTCTGTCTATGAATCGTCACATTGACATACGCATTGTTTCATGGAGACACAGCGGTTATAAAGTCTATAATCGCGGATCATTTACGTTTGTCTTATAATATTGCGGATCATGTTTTCGCCATCACGTCATCGACCCGCGAAATCGCGACAAAATGTATCCCTGTGAAAATATCCTGCTAAACGGTATTGAAAAATGTATCTATGTCGCAATGAAAATTTACTACAAACAATATTACCAACAAACGTACTTTCAAAATAAATACTGCGAAATTAATTAGAAAAACGCTAAAGAAGCCAAAATTTGAATACGAAAAAAATTCGAATGTTGCCTGGATGTAGAAGTGACCATTCCTGACGTACTTACCGGTTTGATGTACAGGTGACCATGCCTGACGTACTTACCGGTTTGATGTACAGGTTATAATTCCTGACGTAATTACTGGTTTGATGTACAGGTTACCATTCCTGACGTACTTACCGGTTTGATGTACAGGTGACCATTCCTGACGTACTTACCGGTTTGATGTACAGGTTATCATTCCTGACGTAATTACTGGTTTGATGTACAAGTTACCATTCCTGACGTAATTACCAGTTTGATGTACAGGTGACCATTCCTGACGTACTTACCGGTTTGATGAACAGGTTACCATTCCTGACGTAATTACCGGTTTGATGTACAGGTGACAATTCCTGACGTACTTACGGGTTTGATGTACAGGTTACCATTCCTGACGTACTTACCGGTTTGATGTACAGGTTACCATTCCTGACGTAATTACCGGTTTGATGTACAGGTTACCATCCCTGACGTACTTACCGGTTTGATGTACAGGTTACCATTCCTGACGTATTTACCGGTTTGATGTACAGGTGACAATTCCTGACGAACTGACCGGTTTGATGTACAGGTGACCATTCCTGATGTACTTACCGGTTTGATGTACAGGTGAACATCCCTGACGTACTTACCGGTTTGATGTACAGGGTACCATTCCTGACGTAATTACCGGTTTGATGTACAGGTGACCATTCCAGACGTACTTACCGGTTTGATGAACAGGGTACCATTCCTGACGTAATTACCGGTTTAATGTACAGGGGACAATTCCTGACGTACTTACCGGTTTGATGTACAGGTTACCATTCCTGACGTAATTACCGGTTTGATGTACAGGTGACCATTCCTGACGTACTTACCGGTTTGATGAACAGGTTACCATTCCTGACGTAATTACCGGTTTAATGTACAGGTGACAATTCCTGACGTACTTACCGGTTTGATGTACAGGTTACCATTCCTGACGTAATTACCGGTTTGATGTGCAGGTGACCATTCCTGACGTACTTACCGGTTTGATGTACAGGTGACCATTCCTGACGTACTTACCGGTTTGATGTACAGGTTACCATTTCTGACGAACAGGTTACTTGGTTCTGGGGTAAAAACTTGAAATTCGTGATTCTGAAAAAAACACCATATCAACATGCTAAAAAAATCATTAGAAAACCGCTGCAAAGAAGGACGTATTTGAACCTAAACACTTTCCGTTCATTAAGGACTGATCGGTGATAATAAATATAAACGTCGTACAAATCTATGTGATAACAGGTAACAAGTTTGGGTTATAGCAGATAATACGTTACAAAACTGGTTGGGGGGTCTTAGTGTGGGAGGAAGACCCACCTGGTCGGGCAGGTGACCCAATACCTTTTCACGTCCGAACAGGGAATCGAACCCCGGATGAAAGGCAAGTGCGCTATCCACTGCGCCACCCGACCACCTAACTTTTAGTCCTTCGTAGAGTCAAAGACTTTGTGGCATACACTAATCACTAGAAATAAGAGGGTAGGATACACCGGCTTGAATGTTTTATAATTCGATGCTACATTCTTTGTTGTGCCACGGAGATCAAACTGTATGATAAGAAGACAATATTGATGACGTATTAGATTCACCTCCTAACGAGTTAAGTAACTTACCCCTCCGCCCCATGCCGAGACTTCAATCTGGTAATCACTCGGGTCCCATGTTGTGAAATCGTCACGGAAGCCTGTAAGTAGTCCGACCCATGACTGTACTTTACCATATTCCAAAGACCTTTGCTATGTCGTTAGTCATTGAAGATAAATTATTATGCCCAGATATATTAGTATGATATCTTCCGAAATTCTTCAGCTTTACAAACTACAAACTACATGTAGTCTATTTTTGTATAGTAAATAGCAGTTGGCTAGTAAGCCAGCGATAAACTATATTATAACAATAATAATATACAACCTTGGATATAGCGCCCTATATAGCTAATATAAACCACTTTAAAGCGCTTTACAGTACATATATATACAAGTTATGCAATCAATAAAATTAACATATACATTATTAAATACAATTTTGAGGAATTCGCAGGAGCTACCTTACCAGGCGCTAACTACTTGTCATATGCCACCTGGCTAATATCTCCCTATGTGTGTATGCCTGTGTGTGTGCTGGAGATATATTGTGATCTGGTGTTTTTTGTGTGGGACCGTGCTTCCAACGGCATCATTTAATAGTGCCACCACAACTTGAATGCTACAGCACAGATACCGCAAAATCCATCCCGGACAATTTTATATTCCACCTGGGTTGTTGGAGTTGTGTGGGCATGAGAAGAACACTTTCTCTGAAGGATCGAACCCCGGCCGCCTGCGTGTAAGGCCGGAGTGTTAACCACTCGACCAATCCGCCTCTATTTGTATCTGGGATCGTACAGTGTAAGTTAAAGGTATTGAAAGTGATCACTACATCTTACTTGGCTTTCAGGCAAGTACATTACCTTGATGTAAACATTCTATTATAGATGTAAGGACCTTCACCGAAATAAATATGTTAGGTATGTGTCGAGGGGGAGATTTGTTAGCCAAAATATCAATAAAAACTGTAAAAGAATATATTTTATGTGCATCCATTTATTTCAATAATTTTTAAGTGCACTGAAGATGGTTATGTATTTAATTAAAGTGCACTGGCAGACAGCAAGTTTGTTTACAGTAAGATAGCACGGTACAATGGTATATCAAACATTTAGTATCCAGATACATTTGTTTTTATTCTTGCCTAACATATCTGAACGTCAGATGTCTATCCAAAAGATGAGAGCAGTTTTTGTCTGGCATTCGTGCCAAAAACTTTTACAAATAAAAATGTAAAAAAAAAATAAAAAAAATTGAAGGACAGTGTCCATTCGGAAAACCATTAAGAAAGTATTTTCGAAAGTGATTTGAAAAGTGCAATAACCGAAATATCAAAAGATTTGAGTATTTATATGTACTAATGTACTGTATAAATTAAAATTATGTTAACCACGAATTTATTTCATTATCACAAATACTGTTTCCCGCACATTAATTAGTAAAACTTCTCTATTATTTTTATTTAACATTTTTTTCTTACAAGACAGGAAAATGACATACAAGAAATAATTAAAATACACCAACACTTCTCTGACATTTTGTGTGTTTATCCTAATACATATTATGTTACGGTAAATGCCAATCATTTGTAGCTACAAAGTAGTTTGAAGGTAGAACAGTGAAACACAGTGAAATACATACATAGACATATATACATGTAGAAAAGTCGCAAGGTGATAGCTTATATTTCTAATATACATAAACATGAACAAAATCAACATAGCTTCAAATAGAAAATTAGATTTAAACATTGTGATCTGCAAAGTCCATACCCTATACTGTCAGCGAGCCCACTCTCCTCAGTTCAAGAGAATGTTTAATGAATAATCAAAAGTAGATAATATTGAGGTCAAATAATTGGTATCTAGGGTAACATCATTGTGATTAGGAATGCATTTTTGGAATTATTCTTTTCTGGCAGATTCATTAAGTGAACAGTGAAAATAGAAGTGTACTTCATTTTTTAACACACCACATTTTGTACATGAATATACATAAAGTACACTTACAATTACTCTGTAATACAGATGTTTATTTTAATATGTCCTTAGCTATGCTGATTTCCATGTGAATTGTTTAAAACAAACTCTATATAAAATAAATGAATGTGTATACGTTTTAATGTTGATAACACATGAGGGAAAGTAACTTTTGCCAACACTACTGCACTATGAAGTCGGCATCAGATCCGCACTATCACAAGGAGGCACGTACACCAACATACCTTATCTCCTGCATACACACACGCAAGCACGCATACGCTACATAAATGGAGGCAGGTATTTAAATGACCTTAGCTGTTAATAGGACGTTAATCAAAATCAAACGAACGCAAACCAAAACTACAGACATGTAAATCAAAACGGCTAATGCAAGAAAAAACAATGAACTGTTCGTGTTCTCACAATGTATTGTCCTGAGTTGGTGTAGTGTCATGTTATACTGTTAAAACTGCAATAAGTGCAGTTTGATATAAACGAGTCAAAAGCAAAGACTCAGAGTAATAAAGAACTTTAACTTGTAGAAATCAGCCATTATCTGTTGTAGTGTAGGTAGACTATCACAGATGACAAAGCTCGTCAATGGGAAATGGGCATACGGCTATCTGACGCGGTATATGGAACGACTCAGGTACAAACCCCTCTTTCGTTTGTTGTCTGGTTCGCGGACGAGCATGGAGTCTAGGTATAATACGAACACACAATCAGTTTATTCCATTAAAGATAGAATACCCCGAATACCAGAAAACAACTTTTACAGAACTGCTGCATCGCATCATAAGGTTCTGCTACATCACTCCAAGAAGATAACTTTTTCTGCATAAAAGCTTCTTTTTTTTTTTTTTTTTTTAAACAATATGTTTGTCAATATCACAGAGAGTAGACACGACATGAGACTTACGATAACCTAAAGGTTTATTGTACACAACGCTAAAGTGACAAATATTCAAACCGAAAATCCGAAAGTAAAAGCATGACACAAACCACCTACTCGGGGCTCAGAAACGCCAGTAACAAGCAATGAAGAACAATAAAACCGGAGGGTGACACCAGAGGTTTACAGAGCTGTACCCTAATTAACATGTACACACACTAAACTGATGTGAGAGGTGATTCTTTCTGGTCTCATTTCCATAACGAAATTACACGATACCTACTTCAATACCATCTTCGATATTCCGGGGGTTACGCTCACTTACGCTCTCTGTGCCCCATCCTCGATATTTCGGGGGTTACGCTCACTTTCGCTCTCTGTACCCCATCCTCGATATTCCGGGGGTTACTCTCGCTTACGCTCTCTGTACCCCTGGAATATGTCGTAGCGAAAATGAAGGCATGAAGATAGGTGTTTCATTGGTCTCGGTTTAAAAAAACACCGACCATTCGCTAGGCTGATACCTGTCCTTTGAAGATTACAGAAGAGCGATACCCGACTTCAAAGCCTGTCATTATTTTACCGTCAAGCGACGTCGATATTCTTTGAATGTACATCAAAGGATAGAACTAGTCACAAGGTGGTGTACACAAAGCCTTCAAATTTTGTATGACCTATCCAGGGGTACAGAGATCGAAAGTGAGCGTAACCACTGGAGTACCAATGATTCTTCAGTATTATGGGGATATTTTCTTTCGTTAGGAATACAGTCTCTTAGTTCGCATTGGTGGAATGAGAGAAAACCAAGCTGATTACACAACAGTATCTCCGGACTTAAAATTAATGTATACTGTAACTAAGGCAAAACACGAGCAAATGCAAAGTTTACATAACAACCATTGACAAAGAGAAAGGACGAGTAGAACACGACCTGGCGTTCTGGAAGGTTTAGCGTTTACTATTAAACGTTTATATCTAAAGAAAAATAAGTTAATGTCGAGCCTTTTGAGAGCACCAGTACGTATCTGGTCAAGTTGATAAAACCCGAGTCTGAAGTGTTGACAAGTTACAGTGGATTCCGCCGAGAGTCGTTTCTTTAGAGACTGTTCTGAGTATAAAGGTTTACAATTGATTCCACCGAGGGTTTTCAGGCAAATTCTGGAGTCTTTCAATCTGTTAGATTATACAGTGGTGCTTTGCAAAATTAAGATGAGTAGATATTATGACTACACACGTGTCATTGGCAATTCTTAACAGATCCACAGAAAGCTTCCTTTTCTAAGGTTTTTAACTGTTTTGGCCTACGCTGTCTCTCTTCACATGCCTAGCATTTACAATTGTGCTAAAGTGTAGCATTGTGTGTTTTGCCTTCGTTGATGCGATATCAAATATAACTCATACAATACCTGCGCCAGCCACCAACGGCAACAGTACAAGACAAAGGAGGGGATCCATGGTGTTACCAATGCGTATCAAATCATGTGTGGCTCTGCTTTTATAGCCCTCTGATAAAGCTAAGGTCTTATCGGGTCAATATGTGAATACGTCAGCGATGTTCGAGGAGGTCAAGGAACACTCGTTGTAATCACATTTACCGTTTCAAATGAATAACTACTGCAATCAACAACAGACTAAGCTCAGTCCGTCTCGTAGGACGTGTCGATAACATGCTTTGTGATTTAGGGCCTACTTTAATTTAAAACTTGGTTTCTTAACGCATTGGTGTCGGGAAAACTACAATTAGAAATTTCTGATTCGTCAAACATTATAGAAGCAACGATCATTGTATTAAACTCGCAAGAGAAAAAACATGATAAAAGAAAACAATATTCGAATTCTTAAATACGAGTGCATCGTGAAACTGTTTTTTGTTTTTTTGTTTTTATAATTGTAATTCACTTTTTGTAATGGCCACATATAAGCGCGAATAATTTTGCTTGTGTAACAGGTGTTTTTACGGTGATTTTGAAGAATGAATTTCATCAGGTGCCATGCATGGGAAAGATTAATTAACATGTCCAAGTGTTAGATAACACGAAACATTCTAGTGTAAACAATGGTTGGTACTCTCACCTGCAGACAAAGAGAAACCCTTGTCTTTGTCTGCACGTGAGAGTATGTGTGTGCTGTATTGTCTAGTTGACGTATATGTATCAAAACAATTTGAAAATATTAATGAAAAAAACAAAATATCTCCAGATCATCAGTCTGAAGTTGAGATCAAAAGGGGTCAAATTGGGGTTATATGCTAGAAACAAGTACCTTTATCCACCTATTTTGACGATGACCAAATTATGTAAAACTTCCAATACAACATGTAATGACGTAACTAAAACCTCAGTACACTTGTGTTGATATATATGTTATACTTGTAACTGATATTCACGGAAAGCGTCTTACATCATACAGTATTATTTGCCATTGTATTATTATGCAATAATTCTAAGGCAACATTTGACGAATGAGCTAACATGTTACTTGTAACTGATATATATGTTAGGTTTCGTACACAATTTCATGAAAAATGTTTGACCACGTATTTTGTAAATATTCCAACATTGGGTGGCCGGGTGGAGACAGATTCACAATTTCCGCATATTCTAATGAGTCTAGAGTTGTGATGAATATTGTATGTTTATTATTGACAGAACAGTGTGTTCTCTCAATATTAAAGTATTTCAAAGCAATCCCAAAAAAATCAGTTGTTTTTTATCAATGAGTCACATGTGTCCAATTTTCTGTATTTCAGGAAACTGGCTACTGTGAAGTTTTTCAAGAACGATAACTCTTACATGCAATTACTATGTGTATATGGTTTAATTATAAAAAGTTTTAATCGTTTATAGATAATTTATTTTACAAAATTTAAGCATTTATTAGATTGATATACAATTGATATGCAATACTAATCGATGGCAGTATCATTTTTATTGACATTAATTTGCCAAAAATTGCGTCTTTCATTTTTTCAAAATTCACTCCTTTTTACTTAAATTTCAATTTTAAATTCTTAAAATTCTGACAACCTATATTTGTTTTGTGGCTGAAAATGTTCTTAACTTCAAGGCAATATAACTAGAAAATTTGAAGAAATTCTACTGAGAAATGGTTACACAAACCTATTAGCTTAATATAAGTTGCAAAAAAATGTAAAACAAATAAAGTTTATAATAACACTCCAATAATGAAAATGCAACCTGCGATGAAGTATCTAAAACCTTATTCCTTGTGTTTTTAAATACATTATACTTGTCTGATATGTATGCTTTGTGTCGTACACTATTACATTACAGTATTATTTGACAATGTATTATTTGACAATGTATTTATTGTTTGACAATTTATTATTTGACAATGTAAAAAGTAAAGTTATATATATCTCTAAAGCTTATAAATGTCCGTTCTTTTCTACCAGAAAACTACAAAATGTGTATCCCGTTATCAATGTACCACTCCATTGAATGTATAATTAATATTTATGGTTGATATATTCGTATTATGTATTGACAAGCTTCATATATATACGTGTATATGCACTTCTTTTGGCTTTTGGTTAATAAGGAACCATTTTTTGAAAAAAGTAGAGTTAGACAAAATTTATGATTAATAGAATTCATCATTCTTTTGTGTAGTGGACAGAAAAATCTTAATGAAAGGGTATATTAAGTGAACTTTAGTACGAGGCTTCGTCGAGCGCTGAACTCCAAAACTCGTATCATGGTCGTAAATGTGCAATTATCAAGGGCGCATGAAATATCTGACATAATTGATAACGCCTTCCAGGTCACAGTTCATAAAGTGATGAGGCGTTAGTGACCTCCAGAATAAGAGCGCGTGTGAGCTGTGCTTCTGTTGTTTGGTAGGGACAGGGCTATCTTTAACCCAGCAAAAACGGGGATGCACGTCTGAAAGTGAGGGTTCAATCACTGGGTACACTGGTAGGCGGTGGTAGACCCCCCCCNTATCAAATTAACATTAAACATTTACATGTGTATGCTTAATGCATCAATTTTGGAAGGTATATATTATATCATGATGGTAGTAACTCATGTTCATGCAAACGAATATGACTAAATGTATGTAATTCAAATATCAGAATAGGTACATGTACCACACATGCGAACCCGAGCAAGATAATAAAAGGCGACTATTTGATGTGCCTTTTCAAGAATCTAGCGGGGGTCGTGGTTTCGTCGTTTTTTCTGTTTGAGGGATATGGTAGAAACCAAGAACAGATGTGATATGTTCCACTGCATGTGTATCGTAACAGGCGAATAACGTGGGGTCCCTACAGAATTAGATGTTTTTCTGTGTCTTCTATGGAGGGTATAGGGAAGAGGTGAACGTTGATCTACTGCCCAATTAGGACACTTGGGATCTTTTACTTTCCTGTCTACTATCTTTCCTATCACATTTCTGCCCGGTGGAATCAAACTAAGTCGCCTGTCCTTAGCTGGACGAAGGACGTTAAACCCAGAACATACAAACGAAACAACATCTGCGCTGACTCGCACACCTACCAATAACAGTTTGACCTATGTTGATGAAATTAGGTTTGTAGGGCTCTAAACAGAATATTACAAACTCGGACGTATAATGTTGATGAAGCCATATCTTCTTTACCCCTAAACAAGTATTGAAAATTTGATTTAATGCAAAGTGGAGTCTGCTTTGCAAAACTTCTATTGGTGCCCGTGTGTGTGCGTATGTTAACCAGAAATAGTCATATATATTTCATCTTTTGACAAATTTTGATACAAGTTGGTTTTGTCGAACAATAAAATATGCTGTCAAATGATATTGTAATTTGATATTCATTTGTTTCTTCGCAAGAATATTGCATTTTATCGTGTGCACACACATCAGACCGGATGTATCTATATGTGTTAGTGCTGTGTATCGCAAGGTTGGTCACGATACGATACGTATCACGATATATGAGAAACTGAAGAACCATCTGACAACTGATGACATATAATGAAATAAATAATCAACATAATCAGAGGTTTCTTGTCCTGTTTATTCATTTGAGGTTTTTCTTCAGGAAAATTAAAGTGTCCACATTTTAGAGAGCTCCTCTGAGCAGTTACAATATATCCTGCACAGGAAAATACTCGCTAACTCGGAACTTATGTCTCTGGAACACATAACCTACGGAGCACAGGAAAATACTCGCTCACTCTGAACTCATGTCTCTCGAATACATAATCTAGAGAGCACAGTAAAATATTCTCTCACTCGGAACTCATGTCTCTGGAACACATAACCTAGAGAGCACAGGAAAATACTCGCTCATTCGGAACTCATGTCTCTTGAACACATAACAGAGAGCTCAGGACAAATTATGCATTCTCTTTCCAACAATGAAATGGACTTTCTTTCATATTTATACATGACACTTTTTGACATTGCTACTTCACCAGAAGCCATTTCCAATTTAGATTTGTGACCTTTTCCCTCACCAACAACATAAACATCTCCTAACAAGTCACTCAAAGCAAAACTACTTCTTGTACACCCCTCACTTCCCTCTGTCTTTATTATTTTCTTAATTCGTGAATCATCAGATCTGGCCAGAACTAGAGGCTTCCATAGGTTGAGGGAGATCAGGAAGGGCAGGTGTTTGGGCCTGGTTATCACCAGTAACCGGTTCAGTCCTCACAACTGGCTGCAAATTTCAAAACTATTAAATTCAATAATCGATTAAAATTCAAAATTCTTCGTGAGCTTGAATCAGAATGAATATACATTGAAAGAAATGAAACAAAGAAATATGTCAAATTTGTTTTAATTACTTAAGCTAAATGAAATGAACAGTTTAATTGAATACTAGTTGTTAGAATTAATTTTGTAGATTTCTTTATATACATGTATAAAAGTATTTTTGATATTGATATATATTTTTCACAATTATTAATTTAAGAAATATTGAAATATTTTTAACGATATGTAGAAGTTCAGTTTCTTGTAGAAGTGTATAAATATATCTGTTGACTGTCAAGTATATAAAGTCATCCGTTGAACCTCTGACAAGGATGGAAGGGATTTGTATCTGGGATCCAGGATGGAAGCAATTTGCAAGGATTCCTCAACGCTATCATAGCGACCATCTTAATCTTCACGTAGCACTCGTTTCATGTGAGCAACACATGCACTGCCATTTTCGTGTGGCATAAAACTGTCAAACATTTGCTGGCACAAAGGCCACACGACAGAGAGAGTTGGGTATTTTCGTCACACATGACAATGGTAGCTGTTTTTAATGTTTTTTAAACCTTGCACTCGGTTTTCAGTAAGCAATGTTGCTCTTTAAATTTATACACGCAGAAACATTGATGAATAACATATCTAACGTTATTACTATAACGATGCATTAAGCATACATATTTATCATCCATTTGTTGAAATACCTGAAGTGAAAGTAATATCTAAATATATGAATATGCGTACATGGGTCAGGGAAGTAATTTTTACATTGTAGACAATATGAGGTTGTCAAATTTTCGGAGCGAT